TATATCAGCTGTTCCTTTCTACTTCGCTACTTGGGAAAGGTAGGTGTTTATCAGTAAATTTAGTTTTTGGATATATTGGCTTAAAATATTAGAAGGGTGGATTAGTAAGCTGAAATACAAATCAAATACTGTGCATCAGTTGCAATAGCTATTTGAATAGTAATGAACTCAACACCTCTACAAGATACATGGATTTAGAAGATAATTTGATTAAATTATATAGGAGAGAATTACCCTGGGATTTTGGTGCAATGGCGAAGGTAATACAACACGTCAACACGGGATATGTGGTTGGTGGCTAGGCGCACATCACAAGTTAGAATGCTAGCTGGTTAACCAAGTCTTGTATTTAAGTGGATAAGGGTAGAGGGAGGGCCCATTTGCTCCCGAGTTTCAAAGCTGGAAACAACTGATTTCTTGGTCAAGGCAAAAAAACTTTATGAGATAGATATCTGGATCAATGTCTCATCCTAGTTTTATGTCTTTTTTTAGTATCTTGATTAAATCTTGTTTTTGGATGTTGCTCCCTTTTGCAGCTATTTCACCAACACACTAGTTCTTCCGGTAGTAAATGGACCAACAGAGGGTCTCATGTTGATATATCTCAGCCATTTCTTTACAGCTTTAGTGGGTAAGCTTGGTTTTTCTCTCTTCCCCACCTCCTTTTGAGATACATGTGAAACTTCCCAATAGGACATCCCTTCTGATGTCCTTCCTCATTCCTGGCTACCCCAGTCTACGTTTTGGGCACATTCTACCAGTTTTCTCTGTTAACAGCTTGACAATTCATGATTTCAGGGTCTGAGTGGTGGGCTCAGCCGTTTGGGAAGTCTATGCCTCTCGTGAGTTGGGTTCCTTTTCTGAACGGTGAGGCTTGCATAAAGTATCCTTTTGTTTTTCAGCTTTTAAGTTTCTCCCCAACCCTCTCTGTGTCTCTCTCTCTGTCTATGTATTATGAAGTGCTGAGTATTGATCGGAGGTACTTTATCTGATGTGATATTTGTGTAGTTATATAGTTTATATTATGCTTTATGAACTCTCTGCCTCTATACCTGCTTTCAGATGATTGTTGCTTCCATGAGCCTATCCATACATATTATTTATGGATATTGACTATGTTCCTATCTGTTCCCAAGTTGATTTTAGTGTTTCTTATTATTCTTACTCCTATTATCCTGACTTCAGAAATTCCGACCAATAAAGCCGTGTTGTTGCTGATGGTTGTTTTTGCTGTTATTCCAACAGTCTATTGCAAGTGAGTAATTTTTCATACTTCGATGAATCTCTTCTTCCATAATTTTTTCTGATAATGGACTTGAAATAGACGTGTTTTATTTATCAGATCATGGTAAATGACTTATTAGCAATAGGCAACATCCATCATTTTAACAGTTCTTGGCAATGTCCATCGTTAGCATTGTAGTATTGCATCTCTTTGAATTGTTGAACTTTATTCTGTGCCGTTTCACCTTTCTGGTGAAAGCATAGGCTACTTCTTCCATATTCATCATCTAAAGATTCTGGATTCTAGCTATTATAGTACTTTAGTTTGCTGTAACATTTAAGACTAGTTGAACAGTATTAACCTCAATTCTTTTTGGCAGTATTAACAATGTTCATAAGGTTGTTCAGGCAACAAAAGGAAGTATGCCGCGGGCGTTGGCCATGGTAAGTGCGTTTCTTAGATTATAATATGTGATTTCTGATTATAGTCTATAGTTGAATAATTTCACTTCTCTTGTTGACAGCTTTACCCATTTGTTGTTCTATTGGGAGGAGTGCTTCTGTGGTATTTCTCACTTTCAGAATACTTATTATTTTTGAGACCATATCATGGTATTTAGGATTGGTTGTTATGCAGGGACTATTTATCTCCATCTAATTTAATGAAGAACTATCCTCATCTTGTGGTAGTGGGAACTGGGCTTGCATTTGGATTTCTTGTGGTAATTGCTCTCCTTCTTGCCCTTGGTTTTATGCATTTTTACATTTTCTTGCTGTGCAACCTATTCTAAAATGAGATATCCAGAAACCTGATAATTTCTGTATACCAACATTTTCTGCTCTCATAGATGTTATGTCATCTCAATTATTGAGTATGAGTTGTTTCCTGAAGATACATGCACAAATGAGTAGTTGCAGATCTTTAGGGCCTTCTTGAATCTCATCTATTGCTACTTGAACCAATGCCATGCTCGAAATCTATTTGAAGTTCTTAAATTGTTTCTAAGTAAGGTTTTGTCTGCAGGGAAGGTTGATTTTGGCTCACCTGTGTGATGAACCCAAGGGTCTGAAAACAAATATGTGCATGGTACGCTGGTTTTTCTGATTTTTGCTGTGCAAAAAAAACCCAGATATTTTGGCCTCCATCACACACATTCTTGTGGCTCTTTCTAGTAATGAATTTCTATACTCCATTGGAAGTTATTCCAATAGGCTCTTTTAAGGGGAAAAAATAATAGAATAAGAAACCATTTTTGTGTTGAACTGGATTGATTGAGGCTTAATAACTTGCACTTTTTTGCATTTTCGAGTACTTGCATTTGGATTTGGCAATTGGGTCTACCTAGTCCCATTTGCTGTGTGGGTGCAATGCTCATTGAAGTCTTGCATTCTGTTACGTCAGGTTTTAAAGTATTGGTCGGTTAAATCACCCCCTTTTGGTCTTTGAAATACCTAAGCTGATCTTGCCCTCTCTCACACCTGAAAAACAAAAAAGAAACCAGAAAAAAATCAGACCTTGTGAGTTTGCATTCATGCACCTTCCACACACAATTCTCAACCCCTAACTGCATGCCTCCCATCACCTTAATCTCAGCTTCGGAAATCTTTCATCCCAATTTGTAGAAATGATTAGGAGCAGCAGTGATATTAGCCGAATAGTTAGGGGCAGAGGTGATGTGAGGTCCTTGGGGAGGGATTTATAGGGAATTTGGTGGTCATCTGGAAACTTGCAGATTTACATAAAATCTAATTAACTCCATCAGTGGGAGAGTTAAACCTTCTCTTTTGAGAAACAGTGAAGCTTCAATGCGTTGTGTGGGGTAATACAGAGGCTAAAATTTCAGCTCCCTCAGAACATTCTGACAAAAACCGTGTAAAACCATCTCTGTTTCTTAATTGACCCACGTAAGTGTATGAGTTGGAGAACTGTATCCTCAGAGTTGGTCTTGCCAGAGAATCCTTGTTGTTTGATTGAAGCTGATGATGTCTCCATTGAATATTGAATGAGATAGTATGGTAGAGAACAATTTATTGAAAGAAGAAGACAAGTAAATAGATGATGTTTCAAGTATTGTGGTTTCAGTGCTTTTGAAATATAACTTTATGTTTGCAGTCTCTGCTTTGTCTACCTTTTGCCGTTGCAAATGCGCTCACTGCCAGACTTAATGATGGGTAAGTTGAAACCAGTCTCATTTATTCAAGGAATTTAAGTCGTACCAGCTTTTAGAGAGTATGGTTTCACTTTTTTCCGGAATTCTTGTATTTCTGCAAGCTCATGAGATCTCTTCCTTGCAGAGTTCCTATGGTTGATGAGTTCTGGGTTCTTCTCGCTTACACTGCATACTCAGGTATTACATCTGCTTTAGCGATTCAGATGGATATGCGATGCTGTTTTGTTGAGCGACTTGGAAATTTTTTAAGTTTAGCTGAATCTGCAAACATACTTTTCTGTCAATCAAGGAAGAGAAGAATAAATTGATAGATCAGCCAATCATGAGAGCTGATGATTTAATACCATCTGCTCCATATTCTACTTTTGATCAAGAGATATCCGATCAAGTGTCTTTATATTGTCGTTTTTTCAACTCCTATGAATGATTGTCTGATTATTATTGTTTCTTCCCATCTTGTTCAGTATCACTCTATCTGCATTTTGCCACTTCTGTTATCCATGAAATCACATCAGCGCTCGGGATATACTGTTTCAGGTGAGAATTATTGTGCTTGATTCTTATTGTACCCTGCGCCGAACTATATATTATTTGATTTCAGCACAATATCTAGAGTAGAGTGCCCATTCTACTCAATAAAATCAAAATCAACCTGAAGTTTGTTACAAGGATCCAAGAACCATTTTTCAGTATCCAGTTTCCTTTATTAACATTTCCAGTCCTAATGCTTCACTTTTAAATGACAGGATAACAAGGAAAGAAGCTTGAGCCGTTTTGCGCTCTAATTTTTGGTACACCTTAAACATTTTCCTCGTTCTTGATGAACTCGAGGTTATATTTTCCTTCGGTTTGTGTATGATACAATTGTGATCTTCTTGGTGTTCTTGTTTCTAGCTTTCAACCTCGGAACTACATGGGATTGAAGTTTGGCTTTCCTTACCTAGCCGATTCCTGAACCTGGCTTGAAGGATGTTTGGGGTTCAACGAGTGCCTCTTTGACTTTTCACGGTTTGAGAGCGTTGTTTGAACTCGCCTTCAAATTCATGTTTAGTTCAAGTAGCTAAGATGAATTTCTTTGTGAATTTTCCATTTCGATTTTAGTTGACTAAGATGCTTGTCTAGGATTTTTCGATTAGTTGACCCTGCTAAAGGTATCATGTTTTAACAATATTTATGTTGTGGATTGAAGAATTGTTGGTTATTGTATTTGAATTGATTTAGATTTTGCACTTGGAAGGAGTATATATATCTTTCTCTTCCTCCCTCTGTTTATTTCTTTTTTTAATGAAATAACTAAAAAGGAAGATAACCATAATATCGTAAATCACAAGGAAGGTTTGGGAAACAGGTATACACAAAAATATTACTATATTCCATCAGATCAGATGGGAGTTTTCAGTGCATTGGATACTGGCCAATATGCATTACAAATACATGTACAAGTAAGCTGGACAACTAAATTTTGTTGCTGACTTTGTATTGCTTTGAACAATAGATATATGAAGCTGATGTCGATTCAAATCGACAGTCTTGAATAAATAATGATCAAAATAACTTTGTATTAACCAACGCCGTGGTGTAGTGTCTGAGTAAAGTCCCATTTCTACCGCGTCTTGAATGAGAGTGCACCCTTTAGCATGTTTAAATTGCTATGGCTAACCACCTTGGCAGTCTCAAATTAGCTTTCATGCCAAATTTGGTAAGAAAAATGGCATAGAGAAGATGCAGCAAGGACACGAAGAACGCACAGTTTATCAAAAGCTGCAAGTTTAGGAAGCAGAAATGTAAAACGAAGAAAACATTAGCGTTCTACTGTTCAAATTGAATAGATAAGAAGAAATCACACGTACCAGAGTCCCGAATAAGGTGTATATAAAATTCATAGAAGGAACTATCGGACTGCCTAAGGATGTGAGGATGTACGAGAGAGAAGCATGAATGTTTATCGTGATCTACAGGCAAAGAATCAACACACGAGTGATCATTTTATTTGTAAAGAATAGCTGAGCAATTGTAAAAGAAGATCATTGAAGTTTGCAAGTTACCAGAGCAAGGATGTTTTCTCCTATTAAAAATGAGGATAATATAACGTATCCGAGAGCACCCACAGCCCGAGCCTGCAAATCAAAACATATGTTTCTTGTTGGAATTTTCTGTGATTTATTACAACACTCTCAAAGAGGTAAAACAGTGGAGGGAGAGAACATACAAGAGCACACAACAAGATTGAGGCGCCCCAACTTGTTCTTAGCCTGGTGAGAAATAGAAGAGCAAGCAATCATTGAAATATCAGACAGCAGCAACATTTCAAGTGAAGGATGAACAATATAGCGGATAACTTTGTATATAGTGAACCCCAGAACATCTCAACACAGAAGTCCCTACACTATTGATCATTTGTGCATATGACAAAGCAATCGACCTACAAGGCTACAACTCCTTTAGGTACTTTTTGGATGTAAAATGGAGCAGCAACTGCAAATTTCTGTTGTAGGGAAAAGTATCCCGTCTGCATATTTTTTTCCATTTATTTGGGGGCTCTGGGGTTGAAAGAGGGAAGGGTTCAGAACAGAGAATGGGATCAGTGAATATATATTGCGGAACACTACTGCTTAATGTTTGTCCCTTTATTTGTTACCTATTCTGTTTCTTTTTTTGGGGAGGGGGAAAGGAGGTTGTGTGTTCCACTGAGGGGTTGCACCAAGGCGTATAGCCGTTGCAAGACTTCCATTGCAAAGACTTGACGAATAAGCATTCAGATATGAAGAGACATAACAAACTAACAACATACCTCCATAAGGAACCCATTGTGAAGCCAAGTAAACCATGCATTAGCTGATTCAGGAGAGAAGAAGTGTAGCTAATTTAGTAAGAAAGATCACAGAAATATGAATAGAACTTTTTTTTTGTTGGTGGAAATTCGAATAATACTTTTGTGAACATAAAGTATTGGAGCACAAGAATGGCCAACAAGTATAATAAGCAACAAAAGAAAGCAATGACAAAATTTGGCATTCACTAGCCTATAATATACATCTTTTATGGTTTATAAGACATCACTCACCATATAATTTAATGCCTTCACTGGACCAGACAAGACAAACAAGAGTACAACAGTTGCCACCTAACACGATGAGATAAATATCGTTAGAGAATATAGATGAACAAGCTTCCAGGAATAAGTGAATGTCTAATCTAATAGACACATGGAGAGGACAAACCATGGTTTTCCTGCCAGCTGCGACACCCCATCTCATCGAGGATACAACAATTGGCAATGCGAAGAAACAGCCGAAGTAATTCTGTGCTACACGTAAAGCCAAATTTCCTTTAGGAGATCAAAACCAACAGCAAGAAATGACAGATAATACAAGACAAGTTCATACAAACTGGTAACTGGATACAAACAAAAACTATGATGCAACAGGTCTGAGTTAATGTCACTTAACATCAAACGAAGTCATATACTAAAGTTGGATTACCAACAAAAATACAGAATGCACAACCTAAATTGGCTGGTTCTTTTCCTCCAGTACCACAAATTCCTCACAACCACCAACAGAGCCAAGCATAGATAGTAAAAGATTTAAAACTTTTGAAACAGTTAAGAAATAGAAGCTCGACTGTTTACACCATTATCACACACACAAAAAAGCTTGACTAATCAAGTCACATAAGCTTGGATGTTGGCAGCAGACAGGAGTGGAGCTAACTTACGTGAACCGAGTAGCTTTTGCCTAAGTCTTGTATATATATTAAGCATTCTACTAAATATCTATAGATATTCGACTGTGAACCCAATTATTATATATATAGAGAAAGGTTTTCATAAGAACCCATAAACTTCAAATTCTTGATCCACCTTTGGCAGTAGACATACCTAATACATGAACCTATCGATAACAAAGCTACCATTTTTTCCACTCTCACTAGTAGCATACAAAACAGGATTAAGAATTCAATCAAATATATATAAACATTCGACTGTGAACCCAGATATTATTATATATATTAACTTAGAGGTTGCCATAGAAACACATAAACTTCAAATTTTGGATCCACCTCAGGCAGTAGACACACCTAATTCATGACCCTATTGATATCAAAGCTACCATTTTTTCCTATGAAACAACTTTTCACCATAATTAAGTCCACATTACTTTAATCAAACAGTTCTTCACCTTGATTAGTTCCACTCTCACTAGTAACATACATTACTGTATTATTCAAGTACTACATTACATGATGGACTTCCCTTACTGCACCAAATTCAATGGTACTTCATAAACTACATCAAATTAAAAACAAAAAAACCAACAAATTTCAAAATTCCAAGAACCATAAGTACCTCAATAGCAAGAGAATTGCTCAAGAGATAAGCCAATCCTGAAACAGCAGCAAACATAGCACCCTCTACTAGTCTCAAAGTCCTCTTATGAACAACCCCATCTGGAGCTAAGTACTCATACTCCTCTGAATTTTCCTCTTCTTTATCACTCCAAATTTGGGTTTTTACAGTTGAACCTTTCACATTACTTGGCTTAAAGTTGTCAAGAGAACAATTAAGAACTAAAGGCAGAATTTTTGGTTTGTGGGTAGGCAAAAATATGAAATGGGGTGCTAAAAAAGATGAACGGGGTGATAAATTCCCAGAAATTGAAGAGAATTTGCTATGGTAATGAAGTTTGAGGACATTCATGGTGGAAAAAAAAAATAGATTCTCGTTTGTTTGTGTTCTTGATCAAAAGGTTACTCTTTTAGATAGGGGTGTTTTATGGGCTTTGGGTTTTTTCTGGTTGGCCCATTAATTTGATTTGATTAGCCCATGTATCAAATCATGTCTAAATAACCCAATAAATTAGGACTTAGGACTAAAAGAGGCCCAATATCTATACAAGTAGTCGATTTTGGGATCACCATTTAAGTCATAACGGTAGTTGATTTTAGGATCACCATTTAAGTCATAGCGGTAGTGTATATAAATTTGCAAGTTTAGTTATTGACTCAACTTTAGGCATATGCGATCAAAGTTGTAAAAGCTTACATCTGATTTTTTTTTTATGACCGTGGTGTTCCGACTAATTCCACGGAATACCTACCATTTTCCACCAGCAACAAGTACCAGGTAACTTTTTCCACCCAGGCTAGGACAGATGAGAAGAATCACCTAGTATTTTTTGTCTCCACTGAATGTTAAACCCGAGACTTCAGAATTGTCAACTACTTCATTGACCGCTAGGTCACACTATTGGGGTACTTTACGTTTGAATTTTAACAACAAAAGTTTGATATTTTTTTTACCTAAAGTTTGGCTTGCATGTATATGTCTGAAGTAATTTTCTAAAGTTTGAACTACCAAGCTTCTTAAGCAATAACCACTTGATCAATTTAAATTCAATTTTCATATGATGAAATGATGAGTTTATAAATTTTAAATTCTAGAAAAAGTAGCTTATTTGGTTATTCAATTATAAATTAAGTAAACTTTTTAATACAAGTATAAAGTCTAGACCAAATTATAACTAAATTATCCCGTAAGCAGAACTGTAATTCCGCCCCCACCTCTTAGGCAAATTCTTGAGGTTTCAATGGACAAATACTGTTCATTTATTTTATGTCTCAGGTAGTGTTATAAGATTATTACATAATTTGGTGATGGGAGAAGAATGGTGAGACAGGTAGGTGTTGTGGACCTAACAAAATTTGTGTATATTTTGTACGATAGACGTGTTACAGTGATAATATAATTAAATTGCAAGCTGTCATAAGTGTTATTAATCATCATCAAATGACATAAATGTACCTTTTTGTTAATTATTGTAAAGTAAATAACATCGAGTCTTGTGATAAACAATACTACTTCACTTAACTTTAAATGAAAAACCCACTAACATATACATATTGTGAATTTTAATATATAGAGTACTTATTATTATTATATCCACCATACCAACAAGTGGATACCAACTTATTTCATAAATAACCTTGATTGATATATGCCTACTTAATATAGCAAAAATAACTTTTGATGGTAATAAATATGTATATTCATAAAGAGTGTTAAAGTCTTTATTGATATTAGTTACTTTGTTATTGGATCTAATTATGTCGGTATAGACTTTAGGGACATTTACAAAAAGTGTTAATTGTTTCTAAAAGAACATATTTAGCGGTAATTAAAATGTTATTATTAATTATTTGCTGCTAAAGATCATTTTTGATGTAGTGGTCATCTTCAAAATTAATGAAAATCACAAATAGAAAACCTATGTCGTGTCGTGGAATTAATGATGAATGCTTGTATCAAGGTAGGCTGATGCAACCCTTTTTCGAGTCTTGCGTGAACGTGAAATGGTTCATGCACCAAGTTGTCTTTTTTAGATATAGTACTATTTATTTTTTGGTTTCTTATTGATCACGATGTACTCGTTTAGATGTCCCAACTAATTCATATTCGTATCAGGTAAGAAGTCACTAAAAAAAGAAGCTCTCTCTATATAAATTTTTTCATTTTTAAGACTCGAACATGCAATACATCATATTCGTATTGTGTGAAGGTTTTGTTTTAATTAAATCAACATTGGAAAATAAGATTTGGAAAGGGACACAACATAAAAAAAAATTGTTATGTTTTGTTATTGTCATAACAATGATGCACTTGAAATTGGGCGTGCAATGAGCCTGCATTGTTTGCTATAATAAAAAAATACCAAACATGATATAGTTTATGTAAACTTTAGGCGCTGACCTATAAAAAAATTGACGTTTTCGAGCTTATATTATACTCTAATCGTTTTATTTTACCCGACTTTTATACTAAAAATAGACCATGTTTTAATTATTTATCCATTTTCGTAAATTAAACTTTTCTATTGCTACTTCTTTTCTATACTATCCATAATATTATTTCTTATGAAATGTGTCAAGTCAATAGAGGCCACGTAATACAGAAGGAGCCCTCAAGCGTGCGTTTATGCCATTTCTAAAAGAGACTTCTTGCTTGTATTCAAAGATACTACACACGTGTGTATTTGCAAGGCCAAAAGGCAAAAAATAGCATGGATATGTGGGACAAACTAGTTAAAAGATAGAGACTTACCGAGAAGCGGATTCAGAATTTAAAATTTATAAATTATTAAAACGATCTCAAATTAATATATAATAATAATTGAGTTCATCTTTTTAATACATACACATGATATAGACAAAATCTACTAGATTTATGTAAACCTGTCGATGACACTTTAGACCTGACCCTGATTATTAAAAAAATCCGTTTACAAGGCACAACGAGTGAACCCCATGAACTTTTAACTTTTAACGTTTTTAAAAATAAAATAACTTTTAAGATTATAGTTTTATATGTACGCAATTGTAGATAATTAATTATTAAGTTGAATAAAATTGAAAAAATGTAAGCAAAATCAATTTAAATATCTGGTAATAAATGCACAAAACAATATTCTAATTCACCAAATTCATAAGTATAGAATAACATATTAATATGTAATTTCTAGTCAAATATTTAAAAAGAAGCAAAAATAAAATATATTTTATAATGATGATGTGCAAGTCAACTTAGGTGCACCTAAATTGACCAACAAATAATTTTAAAGATAAAATATCATGTTATATATTTGCTTATATTTCAAGAATTAAGACTCTTTTTCCTCTTATTATAGTTCACTTGTGCACTTAAAATGATATTTTTACTGACCGATAAAGAGTTAAAAGTAATGTAGAAATTAGTTATGCATAGTTATTTTATTTTTTATTTTATATAAAATAATATATAATTGTGGGGTTATAAGTTAGTAATCAAAACAGTACAATATTTAATGTGCTACATCTTATATGTATTAATCTATATATATGAATAAATTTCTTCCTAATCAGCAATCAAACGAGTACTTTTTTTTTTCTTTTTTCTTCTAGCCTATGAATTATAAATTGAATTTCATAAACTTCGAACTTTAATTTCTTGAGTTGAAATGCCTTTCAAATCAATGCATGAATCTTTCTACAATTTGATCAAGTTTTCTCTGACTACAAGCATAGTAAAGTGAAAACACAAGGGAAAGAAAGAAACATCACCAAAGATTATGATGTTTTAAATCAAAAATCATCTCAGATTCGGACTCTAAATATGAAAAAATTCTTAATAAAAAAATGTTTATTATTTAGTAAGCTTTACATGGCGTAACTTTAAATTAATTAGACCCTAATAGAAATATCAAATACTGCAAAAAATAAAAGAAGACAACGGAAAGAAGAGACATCAACAAAGATTGAGGTGGAATGAATAAATTAGAGATCTCGAATTCAAACTTTAGGTATTAAAAAAAATCACGACTAAGAGTGTTTCTTCCTTAATAAGTGTTACATAACATAAATTCAGATTATTCGTCCCCAAATACAAATATCAAACATCGCGAGAAACAAAACCAAGACAATGGAAATTAGAAGAGGCACCACCGAGGCAGTGGTGGAGCCAGGAATTTGGCAAAGTGTGTATAAATTTTTTTTGCAGCTGTGATAAGAGTGTGCAAAATTAAATATACACTCATATTGATTAATATTTAACCTCTGTACACCATATAATATTCTACAGAAGGATGTGCACCGAATCACCCTTCGCCTAAGGTAACTATAACGCCGTTGCACCGAGGATTGAGATGGGAGGAATAGGATTCCTTCTTTCTAATCATATCCAGATCGAATTCTAGATATGTTGTGGAAATTCATATTAATCGAGCCTTAATATAAATATTGAACACCGTAAAAATAAAAAAATGAGACAACTCGAAGTAAAATGAGTAAATCCACCACAACACGACACATATATACATCAAAATGGACTACACATTCCAATTTCATTTTCATGTTGAGATAGTGGCGTATAATATATACTCAAATCAATATCCCTTTGATTGAGTGTCACCAAATTTTGTAACATATAAATCTGATGAATCTAAATTAATTGAAAAAAGTTAGATGAACGTTACATTAAGCACTTAAATTAGTTAAATCCAAGAAGAAAATGCTAAAACTGTACTATATATAAAACTATAACATCATATGGGTAAAAAACATCCATATACTATATATATTGTTTCTTTGGTTTTCCATTTGGTGTCTAGAGTTTGTGTTGGTGTTCCGATTAAATTCGGATCACACCTTGTAGGGCTTCATTCGGGGGTGACTCTCGCAACATAATTTTCTTTTATATTCAGAGCTTGAACCCAAAGCCTCTGATTAAGGTTGAAACAATCATTTCACTACGCTGCAAACTCATGTCGGTGGTGGACTATTATTTGATAGTAAAAAGACAAACAAATAAAGTCTAAACACAATATTTTTTATAATCTCAATAGATAAATAATTATGATGAGTAAGTTAGTCGAATTGATGTTAACAAGTCGGATGAAATTAATCATGAAGCTTTAGTATAGTAACTATAAGAAGCACGTTTTAGTTTTAATTTGGAATATTAAATCATTTTAAGTCATACAAAATAATTTCATGTTTGTAATTCACTGAAATTTTATTTTCTCGTTAAAATGTTGTTTACATAAAATCACTAAACTAACTTTTTTTGTAAAAACAAAACCACTAAACTTTGTTTAACTATCACAAAACGTCATTCAACTTTCCTTAAGTATTATATAAAATGACTCTAGTTAAGATGCTCACTATTCATCGAGATTTCACTATTT